TGCCCGTACAAAGGATTTTACCGGCTGTCTATATTCGTGCAGGATTACGACAGCGGAAGTGGGACTTTTCAAAACGCTGGGAACTACCTGCTGCACTGTCAAAGCCCAGGGTTGAACCCAAACGCTCTGTATCCTCCAGACTTGGGCCTGTGGTGTGGTCCCGGGGTGCGTACTCAAGAAGCCGGACTGTCCCATTTCAGCCACACAGGGGCGATAGTGAACACACCCCAGGGCCGGTGCAACATTACCTTCCACTGCGCTTCACCAGAGCTGCAAATACACGCTGCGCTCTGCGCTGAGCTGCATGAGCAGGCTCATTTTCCTCTGTCCCGATATGTACTCTTGACATTTACAGATACTAAGGTAACCGTGAGTGTGTGCATGCCCAGAGCGGGAGTCTATCGTCTTGGTATTTATGGACGCAAACCCCCTCAGCAGGACTACATGTCACTGTGTGACTTTATAATCAGGAGTGTGTGTGAAAAGCCCGGAGATCCGTTTCCATGTGTGTATTCAGCGTGGGGAAGAGGGTGTGTGCTGCTGGAGCCCCGCACAGGTGTGTTGGCTCCACAAAGTTCAGTGAGTTTTCGCGTGCGGGTACCAGGTGCGCAAAGAGTGTGTGTGGTGGGAGAGAAACGAACCGATCTGAAGATGAATAAGAGCAGAGTTTGGGAAGGTGAGGCTGTCACTGGAAATGCCACACAACTCAAGCTCGCTGCTGTCACTAAAGAAAGCAATGACATGCGTGTTCTCATGACCTTTGATGTCCTTAACCTGAAGAATGAACTGTGAACAGAACAGACTGTTGTCTAGAGGACAAAAGGGCTACGGTCACACTGCAGTTCAATGTGGTCCTATAGATTTTTTCAGTCAACACATGCAACACATTTTTTTGATGATAGTGTGAACCTGGAAGATCTGGTTATCCTTCATATTTAGAAATAAATCAGAAATAAATCTGTTGTTTACCAAAACTGAAAAAAAAATTGGTAAAGATATGAAAACATTTACAACAAAGTAAATGAACATGAGAAGATAAACTTTGTAAAATAATTAGAGAACAAATCTTTTATTTTATTATTTTTTTAATTAAAGATTTTTTCTTAAATGTAATTAGGTTTTATGCCCGAAAGAAAACAACTTTGTTATTGAAATATGAAGGTCTTGAATCGCGGGAAGCACATTGCTGCCCCTCTTTCCTCGAAAAGAGAAACAAACGAGAGCGGAGCTGTTCCCTTGGAAAAAACGCTCGCAGTGCGTGCTCTTCGCCCAAACAAATAATGCATAGATCGTGTGTGTCATCAGATATTAAACAACGTCAACACAGATGCACACATCCTTAAACGCTTTGCTAGTGCTCGCCATAATGAGATGAATAGAGATCGCTCTTACCACAGAAATGCACGCTTCAAACAAAACAGTCAATGAAGACGAAGAAGAGAATGATGTGTGCTCCCGGCGCCTATTTATACTATAGTCGCACCGGTAGTGACGTCATGGCTGTCGCCGGCCAACGAGTTGGTGTTTTTTCAATGTATGCTTCAGACACGGGTCACGACGAGGCGTTCCCCATAGCGACCCCTAGAGGACGCAGTTCGAAGTTCCCATGAAAGGGAACTTACAGTAATTTGATGCATGAATAAAAAAATATGAGCATCTGTAGTTTATTTTATCAAATATTTATTGCAACAAGCCTGGTTATAGCTGGCATTTTAGAGCAGTTTATGACTGACATTTAAAAGAATATTTAAAAATATATATATATATTTTCATCACAAGAATAATTTACATTTGAAAATATATTTAAATACAAAAAATTGTTTTGTAATAATATTAATGTTTATATTAATATTAACAATATTAATGTTTTTACTGTATTTTTTGATCAAATGCACCCATGGTGAGCATAAGAGACTTTTGCCAAAAACACGTATATCATGTTTGATCAGAAGTGAAATTGGGCAGTTTGTCTTGCGGTGTAAGCGTAGCCTAAAAGGGGAGGAAAGAACAGGACAAAAGCATATCGAAATAAGCTGTTTCCTAATGACATTTATGTCACTGTATGCATGTGCGTGTGTGAACGTTATATTTGCATGGTGACACAAAGAGTCTGCATACTCAACTGCTCTTAGGCTCTGCAAGTATCAGGGACATAAAGTGACTACCAGATAAAAGGGATCTCTGGCCTCGGTGTGTATTCAACAGAAAGGACTATTACTCTCCATCCTATACATCAGTCCCTGGCAGTGATCAAAAGACAGAGATGACCAAACAACTGCACCACAACATGGTGCTGCATAATGCTAGCAATACCAAGGTCATGGGTTTGATTCCCAGGGAATGCATGCATTAGCTTGAATGCAATGTACTGTAAGTCACTTTGGATAAAACTATCTGCCAAATGCATAGATGTAAATGTTTAATCTTACACGGCAATTCATATATTCTTATATAACAATTTAAGATTTAAATTGTTGTATAAATGTAATAAATAAAAATGCTTAATGCTGGAAAAGGAGGAGCCATGGGAGACAAACAGTCCTAAGTAAGGTTTACATGATGCAGTCATAACAGTGTATCAGAAATGAAACCTTGAACTCGTCCCACTGGCCAGTGAAAAACAATGGCTGCTATGTGTGCAAAGGGTGGGTACCGTCTCCAGGGAGAGATGAAGGGAGCCTGATGTAAGTTGAAAGAAATGTGGGTATTGTATCTGCAAGAGGGTGAGCGCATTGTTTTTAGACCTACTCTGGAGCCGAGTACAGGTTGTATAAACGGCCAAGGATGGGCTGGGACACGTGTGCAGATCCTTGGGGTGCATTAGAGTAGAGCCCCGGTGGATCGAATACAAGTATTTTGGAAGGTGGGCTGGGCAGGGACCCAAAATAAAGGCCAGGAAAAGGATGTGTGTGGTAGGCTTCAATTTGACACACAAAACAGTGCTCGATTACATATTACAGATACACTTACTAAGTTATAAATAGCTTCTGTTGTTGCAGGCCTCTGAGATTAGTGTTTAAGCAGGGCTTGGCATCCTAAAAGATGTTATCACCATGTGACAAATCCACTGCTGAGTTGATAACCTTACACACAAACACACTTCTTTTTCAGTCTGTTTTTGTCAGAAGACATTGTTTGCCTGCATTGTTTGACTGAGCAGACCACTACGATTGACTGATAATAAAAATAGCTCATCAACAAAAGTAGCTTATAAATATTTTAATGTGTTATTTTGTCATAAATACAACATATATATTAGAAAAAAGCATCAGTCACAGGAGAAAACATGAGTTACAGTAGTTTTGTGCAAACAACACTCAAATTTAGATTTTTCACAAACTTTTGTTTAACCCCTTTAAACAAACAAACAAACAAACAAAAGTTATTTAAGACCTTTTGGCACTTTTCAAGTAGAACCATCTGAAATCGTGTTCAGTTAAGAAGATATTAAAGATATCATAAACTCTGAGCACTGGATATTCGGAAACTGAGGTAAAGACTAGGGAATCTATATGAATCCCACATTTTCCCTCTGGGTTAAAAAGGTCCAATGTTTCCCCAAAACGCCAATATAAGACCTTATGGGTGCATGTTTAGATTTGTGCAAATAACTTTTAGCTAATAATATCTATTTTTAGCTATTTCAATTTTCAGGCTTGTCCCCAGCCAGCCAGCAGCAACTGGAAATCATTTAGCCCTTTAGCTTGTCCTAATTTTACTGTTGCCCCTGAAGCACAGCACATTCATCCACAACACAATGCACTAAATGTAGGCCGGTTGTGATGGACGTTTGAAATAAAACTTGAATGCTGGTGTTGCCAACTCTACTACATACCTGAGAACACAAGACATGTGCTGTCTGAATATTCAGCCTCTGGTTGGTTATTAAAACAACGGTCAGATTTAGGGGCTGGACAAGATAAAAAGTTTTGGTCGTGAACAAGCCTTCAGTGACCACTGAAAGTCAGAATATTTATCTATAATAATAAGAGTTTGCCACCAAAGGCAATGTTATGACAAAGTGCTTTTCTTTAAAAGTTTGACCTTTTGGAAAACCCAGGCCGGTTTGCGTTCAGCAAAACAAAACGACATAAATCTATCCCTCCTATCTAAATAGCATTGCAGCCGCAAAATAAAAATTATTCTTGACATATTCATGTCATAAACCTTTCCACCAAACTCTGTTTTATTCCTCTAACCTCAGCTCCACGAGCACAGCTGTGCGGGCCAGAGGGGGTTCACATAATACCAGGAACTGCCTCTGGAGGGCCTCACTAGAGTCCTCTGCGATGAGGAGCAAAAGCCAGATTCATAGTTCTCATATCTTGACAAAAAGCCCAAATTTCTTGAGTTTTACACGGTGGCCCTCCAGTGCCGTTCTGTTACTCGGCAGACCCTTACTGGCCCTTTACACTTACATAGACAAACAACTCTTCATATCCTTTCACCAACACTGGCGTTTGGCTCTGCCCGGGGATGCCCCTGCTCTCTGCCAAGACTCTGCAGCGGCAGCCAAATATCTCTCACAGCAGAGAATCTGCTTCGCCTGAGGAATACTATCATCTGGCTCCAATTTAATTGATTTCACAGCATTAGAAAAATAGAATTTGCAAAGATAAATCACCTTTTTTCCAATATGAAAAATAGATCGAACTCTTGCGATTTCTTTCTTGGTTGTTCCAGTTTGGTGAAAGGCATTTCAGTTAGCTTAAATAGAACTCGATAAGACATCTTAACACATGCGGATAGTATGTGCTAAAAATGTCCGCTACTTTGAACTACACATTATATAAGTATTACGTAGCCCTGTACCCATTAAGGACAGTTGCTGTGTAAAACCCGACTAATAGTGACACCACCAGCTAAATGAGCGGTGTGTGTGTGTGTGTGTGGGGCACATCGATGATTGTGTTTCAGCACTCTTGAAGTGACTGCTTACCTCTGAGGCTCTGTCACCTATTAGTGAGTAGTCAGTTTGTCTTTGCTTGGAATTTCAGTTAGCATAAATAGAACTTCATAAGACATCTTAACACATGCGGATAGTATGTGCTAAAAATGTCCGCTACTTTGAACTACACATTATATAAGTATTACGTAGCCCTGTACCCATTAAGGACAGTTGCTGTGTAAAACCCGACTAATAGTGACACCACCAGCTAAATGAGCGGTGTGTGTGTGTGTGTGTGTGTGGGGCACATCGATGACTGTGTTTCAGCACTCGTGAAGTGACTGCTTACCTCTGAGGCTCTGTCACCTATTAGTGAGTAGTCGGTTTGTCTTTGCTTGTCGGATCTACATCTCAGCAACGTCCTTTCAGAGTTTATTCACAACAGGGTGGCCTTGAGTAAAACTGCACTTGCATACTGACAAGGTACAGAAGTGTCAAGAGACATAAAGGCAAAGTTACCATATTAGAAATCTCTAAAGGAACACTAAAAAGGCCCATAGCAACATTAGCACTATGTAGCTCATAAATCTCCACAGTAAAGAGTGAATATGGCTTGGTGAAAGAACTGCTAACCATGTAGTGTATTAACACCGGTACAGTATATTGCAGCACAGAGGAGACCAGCAGTGTCTGGGTTTCTTTGGAAGTGCATCCCTTTAGTAGCGCTGTAATTGTTTCAAAACATTACTTTTAAGGCTCGTCTTATAGACAAAAGTTCAAATGTGTGTGTATATACACACACAAGACATTGCTGCTCTCCTGCTGTGTGTGATTAGTCCAAGTAAACATGCATAGAATGACACACACCCCAAGATAGAGTTAAAATATGACCGTAATACCGAACGGTACGGATCTAATACAGTACAGGGGTGATATAAGCACACATTCTGCTTCTGCCATGCTTTTGTACCAGCACACGCTCGGCAAGCATGGGTTTAACACACCAAACCGATCCCTGGTGCTACAAACGAAGCCAACACCAACAAGTCAATCTGATTAAGAACACATAAAAACTTCTAATAATAAACCCTCCATCATACCCTGATTCCCTAACCCTCCCGAAATGGGGTTACTTGAAGCACCGGCGTGTCAGTTAATGACTTTGGAATGGCTGACAAGAGAACTGCAGCACATGAGAGATCCTCAGCCCTGATCCACACAGCAGGGGTCGAAAGATTGACAGAGGCTGACTGAGGGCAGGTGCAGTGCACCTGCTTTTCCAGATGCACATTGCTGGAAATGAGCCTTCTGTTTGATCACTTTCAGCCTCACTGACAACCTTCATTACGATTCAGCTCAATATGTCTGCTAGGCACTGGAATTACAGTAGAACAACCTTCACTGCAGGGAGCCTCAGCACTACAGTATGTACACACCGGAGAGAGTAATGATCTGGGCATCCCTTGTAGCCTCTATATAAGCCTCGAATTTCTGTTTACCTTCTATTTTATAATACAGAGAAAATATTGTTCTTTACAGGAATGTTTTGACACATCTGAGGCTTTAGCAGTGCTGTTTTACACAACAGCGTTTCAGCTTTCTCAGGGCGCTGGTACTATTTACAGTCATGGTATGTTGGGCAAAGGATCTCTCATTAGGCTGTGATATTTCTTCCTGGCTGTGAGCTAAATCCTCCCCATCTCTCAACAGCAAATCCCTCATTCTAACATGTGAAATGGATGGTTTTGAGCGGGTAATTGGATAGTGGACGTTAGTGATTGTAAAGTGACCCTCCCCTCCCTTTTCCCGGAAAGTGAATTTGTCAGATGAGAGGATTAGGGGTCGAAGAGGTCAACATGTGGCTGCAGGTCCACCTTTCTGTTGAAGTGTTCAATCTCTTTATTGGCCTCCTGCACGTATTCATCAATGAACTGATCCATCACTGAACACACACATGTAAGGAATCAACAACAAGCGGATCACACAAACACATCGGTTCTGACAAGCACACAGTAATATTCAATACTGTCAATATTCAATATTATTTTTAATGCTGTTGATTACAACTGAGAATAATTTTAAATGATGCCTCATGAGTGTGTATAAATGCATTTACAGTAATACACTTTTAATGAAAGCTTAGCTGTGCAAATGTGCTGCTTTTCAACGCTCCTGATCAAACATTAAGCCTACTTATCAGATTAATAAAAGTAAACATCACCTTCCTGTTTGTTTATACACACATTGGGACAAGTTGAAATTACTGTCTATGGTAATCAACAGCATGCTACTGTTGCAGTGCAGACATTAGGTTAAAAGTACACTACTGTTCAAAAGTCTGTGGTTGGTAAGTTTTACATGCTTTTAATGGAAGTCTCTTATGCTCACTAAGGTTGCATTTATTTGATCAAAAATACAGTAAAAAAAAGTTTTTTATTTTAATACGTAATTTATTCCTGAATTTTCAGCGTCACTACCCCAGTCTTCAGTGTCACAAGGTCTTTCAGAAATCATTCTAATATGCTGATTTGAACAGTATTAATTTGAAATAGAAATATTTAGTAACATTATCTTTAATGTCACTTTTGATTAATTCTAATGCATCCTTGCTAGGGTTGGGTATCACTTGAATTTTATCAATTCCAATTCCGATTCCAATTCTGCTTTCCGATTCCAATGTAGATAAAAAAAAAGTCATTTAAAAACATTTAGAAATCAGACATATTTATTCTGGGTCTCTTTTAGCTAAACATTTAATTGCTGCCGAATACCATGAACAAAAATCAGCCAGCTACATAAAAACTAATTAGACTAATAATTAGATTAGACTAGATTAAGAGCTGTTTGTGTGCAAAATAGAGCTGCATCATTCTGGATCAATTTAGACTTTTTTTTTTTTTTATGAAGGTTGTATTTCTCTCACAGTTCTGAAGAAAAAAATATTAGACAACTAAACAAAATCTCATGGAATTTATGAATGGAATGATTCAATGATTCATTACTAGATGAATCAGTGTTTTTGAATGAATCTCTTGAATGAATGATTTAAAGACAAATACATTTTTAACAGCCCCTTTTCACCACGTAAAAATACATATGCGCACACAGGAATTGATATGTGGAATTGAAATTTTAATTTTACAAGTATCCGATTCCCGACCTTGAGTATCCGATTCTGGAATTGGAATTGATTTTGGATTCACAACCCTAATCCTTGCTGACAAAAAAGTATTAATTTACAAAAAAAATCTTACGGACCTCAAACGTTTGAACGGTAGTGTAAACTTCACCACCACATCTGGTTAAAAAGTTAAACTACAATTTAAAGATACGAGGATGGAAGTTTTGCTTTTCTCCAAAGAAACTGACGAAGTGATGACCATTGTAGAAGTAACCGGGAGGGAGAGGATCAAGGTGGCTTTTCACCTAAAGACACATAAGATGAAAACATTTAGATCAACTATTTGCTTTGGTGCTAAATTAATGAAAATATGTGTGAGCGCAAGCGTGTCGGTACTCACATGAATGTATCTGATCTCCTGTGGGGTGAGCGTCCTCTTATTCTTCTTGATTTTTTTTGCAACTTTCTGTGAAACACAAAAACACTGACATGTTTAAGCCCTAACCCTCAAATGTTTATGATTTCATTAAAATTTCCTTCTCTTATATGCAGGAGTCTGCGCCCACAGAAGTCTGCAGAATTGCACGTAGTTCATAAAATTGTTTAAGTATTTTGGGTTACATGATAATGCTTTCGGCTACCAATATGTTGTTGCTCTCAGCACACATTTTACTATGCTTATTCCTCCCACAAAATTAGGGGAGAAAATATGGAAGAAGTCTGTAGATTCCACCTGCTCCCACCTATGAGAATTTACCTGTTTGGCACAATGCCGAAGCCAGTCTTTCAGCCCCTCTTGGGTGAGCCCCACTCCGTGAAACATTAGATAACAGTTGTTTGTTGTCCGTGGGCCATGGTGAGTCCCCTGATCAGGGGCAATGGTCACATTCCCACTGATAGAATTACAGTTTACCACCATCTGTCTGTCATTGTCTACAGTGAAAACAGACACTGCATGCAGTCAGATACACACACACATTTCACTGAGTCCAACATGCTGCACACTAATTTATCAAACATGTCATCAGACGGAGCTATGTCTAGCATGGCGTGCCAACAGCCATCCATCCCATCAATCACTCCTCTGCAGTGTGGACTACGACTGCACTCTACAAGCAAGCAAGTAGTCAAACTTGAAAACAACTGATCACAATGCACTGAATGTTACGAAAAAAATCAACTTACAGGATCTGAAAGCAAATCACACACCAAACCGAACATAGGCACCAAAAATCAAAAGATTTCCATAACAAAACACAGATGATTCATGGTGATAACTAGGCATCACAGATGGTGTTCGGACCGTATGGGTCCTAAATGAACTACACTATCTAGTGTGCTGTTACTCAGGCACTATTAAATCACTCAGTTCTCTCCATTCTGTCAATTTACCCACTCTCTCCATGCAACTCCACCACAGATTCAAAGGAACAGAGGACAGTCAAAAACCCTCCAAAAAAATGTGACTACAGGAGGAAACGACTGAGAAAAAAGGAGTGAAAACAGATGTGTGCAGGCCACATCACTTTGAGGAACCAGAGGTGAGAGTCCTACCGTGTGGCGTTACCCCACAGGCCCCCTGCCTACTACTAGTAGTCAAACTTGAAAACAACTGATCACAATGCACTGAATGTTACGAAAAAAATCAACTTACAGGATCTGAAAGCAAATCACACACCAAACCGAACATAGGCACCAAAAATCAAAAGATTTCCATAACAAAACACAGATGATTCATGGTGATAACTAGGCATCACAGATGGTGTTCGGACCGTATGGGTCCTAAATGAACTACACTATCTAGTGTGCTGTTACTCAGGCACTATTAAATCACTCAGTTCTCTCCATTCTGTCAATTTACCCACTCTCTCCATGCAACTCCACCACAGATTCAAAGGAACAGAGGAGTCAAAAACCCTCCAAAAAAATGTGACCACAGGAGGAAACGACTGAGAAAAAAGGAGTGAAAACAGATGTGTGCAGGCCACATCACTTTGAGGAACCAGAGGTGAGAGTCCTACCGTGTGGCGTTACCCCACAGGCCCCCTGCCTACTACTTCTCATGGAAAAATCATACATTAACTACACAGACAAAACCAGAGCAATAGACATCCTAGAATCAAACAATACACATTTATAGACAATCATAACTGATTTGTGACTATGTCACGCTGTATAAAGCCATAAAAAAAATTCATAATAAGACAGATTTGAGGGAGGTTATGGAGACCAACTGCCCTACCAGAGAACAGCACTTTCCCACTGATGTGATAGATGTTTCCTGTGAAAGAGCTGAGTTTGAGAGAGGATTTCAGAGCTGAGAAAAGAAAGGAGACAGAGAGACTTGTGAGTTGTGTTGACTTTGATCACTTACTTTTGACAGTTCCATTTTTAGCACATGATTGTACAGCATCCTTACATATACTGTCAGCAATCACTTTATAATTAAACCCTCTTGAATATTTATTATTGATGATTAGGCCTCTCACAATTATTACATAATCACCTGATCACAATTATTTGATCAGATTGCTTTGATTTAAAAAGACCTCAAACATTCTGCATGTTAAATTACAATCATATAGTGGCATCAAAATAAAGTCATTTTAAATAAATATGCCATTACATGCACATGTTGTGCCTCTTTTTAAAGCATTTGTGCATTACGCAAAATTCAGATCATCTCAGGAGGTGGTGTTCTCATCTCAATTTAACTGACCCTATAATACTTTCTTAATCTTTAATTAAAACATATTTTAACAGAACCATAAAGGAGGTTTTTTTTGTGCAACATAAAGGTTTGAGAGTTTTATCCAGACCACCTTACAATGCCATGTGAATAATTTAGAATGGAAATAATGATACTAAAAAACATTTGTATTACTCTTCATGTCATTCTACTCTGTGCCAGTGTTATTTTAGTGTTATTTATATATTACTATAGTATTTAATACAATTTTGAATTAGCCATTATTTCCAATTTAGCTATTTTGTTTTAGTAATTAGTTTTAGTAGTAGTAATTTAATTTAAGTTTTAATAATTTAGCAATTAAACATATTTCAGATAGTTGCTAATGCAACATTTGTAATTTAAATTTTTATTTCGTAAAGTAAAAATTTTTATTATTTAAAATATTTTATAAAAATATTTTATAAACATATTTTGCAGCTTTTTGTTTGTTTTTTTGCAGCCTAAAATGATTAAAAATAAAAATAAATTTCTAAGACGATTAATAAAAAAAATTGTCATGATTGTGACAGTCTTATGGATGACGGTAAATACACACAAACAGATGCTTACCTTTGCAGCGCTGCAGAAATAATGCTTTTTCCAATGGACGACTGAACTCAATGCAATGCTGAGACATAGACAGTGATCCACTTCCAGAAACAAACCTGCCATCCCACCTGAAACAATACACAGTATAGTTCAATATAGTTAAACATACACGTGTGTATACGCACACATGTAGAGAACGAAAACATTACCAGCCAGGATACAGCAGGTATCGTGCATTGATCATACGAGACTGTGAGAAACTGCTGTCATTCAGAATAAGCCGTATATCTTCAGTCCTACAATACAAAAAATAATCGCTAAGTAATATTAAAATGAAGTGAGTGTGTATGTCAGAGAAAATATCAATGTACAAACCTTCTAACCGCCCATTTCTCTGCTGAGATAAATGCAGTGCTGGGATTGGCTGCACGGATCAGCTGCTGCATGTGTTTGAGAAGTGGGTGCTTCTGCTCGGTAGTCAAACCCGTGAAGATAACATTGCTGACGACGCCTGAAAGAGAAGCTCATCTAAGAAATCATTTTATCCAAAGCCACTTACAGTGCACTTATTACAGGGGCAATTGCCCTAGAGCACTGAGGTTAAATGAGGCTGCTTTAATTAAGGGCACACTGGTGATGTCTCACTGTCTTCATATACTCAGTACACTTTGATTGATATTGTTCATATCAGATGGAAATGATCAGGGACTTTGTTAAAAATAATGCTGGTTTCTAACCATGGGATTCTTCAGAGGGATATGCAGATACAGAAAGTTGCTGAACACCAAATAAGCACTGTTGACATGTAAATTTGGTTAGTTTCTGACAAATTTTAGTTTTAAAAATGCACTTTATCGAAGCAAGGGAAGTTTAAACTCTGAAAATTATGGTAGGTTTCATAGTACAAAGAACTTTCAATCTCCAAAGATCCAGGAAAATCTGATTTCACACGATACGACCCCACAACAACGACAGATCTGATAATCTATTCTGCAACATCCACACACATGCACCATATTGAGAGAAACTCACCCTGACTGCACTGCTCCAGGAGTTTGGGGAAGAGAAGCCTGTAAAGAGCAGTTTCAGAGAGCTTCAGAGACGACATCAAACAAGGGAAATTACAGCGTGTTAACAGGCCCTTTAGACACTTACATTATAATTACATAATGACATATAATTGTTATTACAGCATTTACAATCTAAATTACAAGTGTTCGTCTGGAAAAGTAGGTGTGATAAATGTCACAGTGTTTCCCCTGCCATTCTATTAGGGGGGC